CTAAAGTTTTTGCCATGAACCTTTATATTTCTTAAGTTCTCCTTCGAATATTATGTAAATTTGCAACAGGAAAATAAGGAGCAAAAAGAGTTCAAAGACAAAGACTGCAGAGAGGTATACGGTTACAAGGAGTTGTTTGGGGACGCTTTCGATAACGAGAAGATGCTGTAACACTGTCAAAGTTGTGCAAAATAGGATTTGCCATGTTCGACGATAGCGACTACGAAGACATGGAGGACTCTGTTCCCGCGGAAGAGGAGAGCAGTGGGTCCAGTGATGAGGCAGAACCAGGGGATAAGACAGCAATGAGTATGGAGGGGTCTAGGCCGCGGAGTGGGGACAAGAGTAAGTCCGACGTGGAGAAGAAAAAGGGGAAGAGGAAAAAAATTCCGCGTCAAATTTGTCGTACTCTGTTGACCGTGCAACCTCTGCTAGTGAGAGAGTAGCCCAATGCAAAGACATGAATTAAGGAGATGTTGGCGACGGGCAGGCCGCAGAAAAAAACTGACATGTACTTTTGGTCGTGTACGTTCCTATCCCTCTGGCGGAATAGGGAGATACTTGAAACATAAGAGGACGCAGCAGAGAAAATGGACTGGCTGGAATGGAACGGCATGAGTACAGAAAGGCCCAACCTATGTGAGGGATGCACTCGAGCAATTTCCCCAGTCCAGTCGGTTTGAATCGACTAGATTGGTGGATTTCATTATATGCATACCTAAGTGAGGGATGCACTCGAGAAATTACCCCAATCCAGCCAGTTTGCATCGACAACGATGGTGGTTTTTCATTATTATGGATTTGCCAAGTACGGAGCTTATGTAGTCATTTTCGTAAAAACTGTTAAAACATGTTTTTATTATTATGTATTTGTACTGTTTGGAGGCATGTTTTTATTATTATGTATTTATACCGTTTGGAGGCATACCAAGAATCTTGCAACCTCAGTGAATAGGTTTTTGGCCTTTTCCCTTTTTTCATGCTTGCCATCATTTGTGGGTTGAAAGTCAAAGACATGGAGCACCATATAAAATGACACGTGCAATCAATATACTTCCATTATCAACAAATGTTGCTAACATAACCACTGCAGTTTCATTTTCATTCTAACACATCTCAAAAGTCATTTTCGTAGCATTACTTGAACAACTAAGTGCAATGGCACTATCAGACTTGAATTGCGTTCTCATGCCGTACGGTGATCCTGAAGTGGATGTTGGGGAAGAAGAATTCCTACAAGAGCTGCAGGATGACATTGTTGAGTGGTTTCGGTACTGTCACATGCCAGGCGTGGATGTAGCAAGCTATTATCGTGAACATAGGCGTCAAATTAGAAGATTTCCATTTGCACGAAACGGACACATGCTCATGCTCGATGCCATGACAGATAGCCCGGAGATGTGTTATGTAGAGTTCAGGAAGTATCTACGAATGTTGCGAACGTTCGCGCATATACTTCGCAATGAGTTCGGGCTGCGCAGCGGACGACAAGTAGATATATATGAACAAGTCGGTATGTTTTTGTGTATTTTAGCGCACGGAAAAGGCTATAGACAGGTTCAAACGCTCTTCAACCATTCTTTGGAAACTGTTGGACATTACGTCAAGGTTGTGCTTGTTGCAGCTGTTGAATTCGCTACTCGTGTTAGAAGACCCAATCCGAACTACAATAACGGAGCCGAGCATCACGTTCCGGATTTGAACAAGTATTCGTTATTCGGAGATTGCATCGGTGCGATTGACGGAACGCATGTTAGGGCTGTCTTGCCACGAGAGGAACGAGTAAGTTTCATCGGCCGCAAAGGGATTCCAACACAAAATGTTCTAGCTGTGTGTGATTTTAATTTGTGTTTCACATTTGTGCTTGCTGGTATGGCGGGAACTACGCATGATTCACGTATTTTGGGGCGTGCTTGTAATGCTTTTGAGAATGGAAAATGAAAAAAAAAAAAAAAATTGACTAGGTTGATTTTATTTTACAGTGAACGTCAATTTCGTTTTTCTTTTATTTCATGTTGGATTTAGGTTTGTAGGCAACAAATATTGTACATCACGTGAAACTGGCATTTGGAGCACTCAATCAAAAAGGCTGCAACAATTAAGAGATGGTCAAACACGCAATAAATTCTCGGCAATTTTCACGTAATATGGTTTGAAAAGTCAAAAAAGGCTGGCAACCAATTGGTAAAAATTGATTCTTTTCACCGTCACAGCAATTTTCACGTTTTTTGGTTTGAAAAGTCAAAAAAGTTGGCAAGGACAATTTGGAAATTTTGCTGAAATTTATTCTAACAGCAGACATGCAACGGTTCACTTTTTTCTTCCGTTAACGGTAGGAAATTTAATTTAAATCCTCCCCAGACAGGCTCTAAGTAACCATCGAAAGTAGAAACACCCACTTTATTATTTCTAAATGAACGCTACTTATGACGTGGAAGATAATGAATACTGTGACGGTCATAACCTCGTTTTCGCTCATGAACCTGACCCCTATCCCTACAATCGTGTCGATAATATTTTTGATCACTTTGACGCAATGATTTTGTCTATTATAGGACACTTCAAAATTATCAACATCAGTCGAATCAGGGATTTGCTTAAACTTGTTCAGACCAGCAGCTAGGCTCCTACGCTCTTCAAGATTAGCAATCATCTCAGTTTGGACAGCCGCTAATTTTTGGAATTGTTGTTGGTTAGTGGCAAATTGTGCTAATTGTCTGGTGAGGGCATCAAATTGGGATGAGTCCATAGTCAAGTTATTGAAACTAGATATGATAAGACGACCACTACGCACTTGCATACAACATACTACTAGCTAAATGAAGTGTACTGGAGCTAGATTCGACAAAATGACCGCTATGCAACTGCATGCAATGAACGACATGAGGTGTGTGGAGAGATCAATAAACAATTCGTTTTAAAATGAAAACAATTTCTTTTTTTGGGATTATGTGAATCAAAATATGACAAGCTAATACTGCTGATACATGTAAAATCGCAAAGCAGGGTTCAAATACTAGTCAAAAATTCGATCACATAAAATAAGTGAGGTAAAATGGGGATTTAACAAATCAAGTAATTGATCACGTAAACGTTAGATAAAATGATGAGAATTCAACAAGTCTAGGGATTCGGTCACGTGAACTTTAGGTAAACTTCGAATACAACAGCACAAGGAAATTAATTGATGCAATTTTAAAAATAAACAGTAATATAAACCAACGATAAATAAACAGTAACTCCCCCTGTTGTTCGTCGATGTAAGTGAGCACCAAGCAATCCATCACCAAAGACAAGAAACAGTCGCTCCCGTTCTGTTCGTTAAATTAGCTGAACCAACCAACAGGTCAAAGAGGTACCTACAAAAATATGTTAGAAAATACTTTTTTTCTCACACTTTTTTCTCCTTTTTGGCTATATTTCATCCAATTGACTCCTCCTTCATCCAATTGACCTCTAACATTCTCAAATCTTCATCACAAGGTTAGAAACAAGTTAAAGTATTTGCACTTTAGTCCCTGGGTAGTGATTGGCAGATGGAAGCGGACGGGCGGATGTCCGGTGACGAGACTGGAGGAATGGGTGTTGGCGATATAAGTGAAGGTGGGTTTTGGGATTGGTTTCGTGCGGGGCGGCTTCAATTGTTGGATTGATTGTTGGTTGGTTGGAGATGTGAGGGTGGAACGGTCGACTGTAGGTTGTGGGTTTGGTGGAATAGATGGGCAGTTTCCGATTGCAATTGTTGGAGAGGGTGAAGGCAGCAGACTGGTTGTGCTGCTTTTTTTTTTTTTTTTTTGAAGTTGTCTGCTATTGGCTGTGGTTGTAACCGGCAGTAGTGCTTTGTGTAATATGGAGGCTTGGTCGAGATGTGTTTGTGGATTGTGAATAGAGGCAACAACAACTTACGGCGTTTTTGGGATGTCAATTGGCGAGGGAAACCAGGTTTCGGCTCTGATACCAGATTTGTTGTAGGATGAAATAAAACTTAGGATGAATTAGAATTAAAGCCAAGAAGTTAGATGGAAAGCAAGAAGAAGAGGAGAGGAGGAGGAAGAGGGGAGAAAACGGGCTTCAAGCCAATCTTTACTTCATCATATTCATCAACTGTCTAAATTACAATATGAAAATCATATAAATAGCGAAAACCTAGCTAGTAACGGGTTTAGGCCAACCTACTACTATAAGTCCAATAACAATAAAAAATAAAAAACATAAATGATAAAATCCAACAACAATAAAATTAAGTCTCGACTGATAAAGCTCAATAACAATAAAATTAAGTCTCGATGATGTCCGCATCAATAAAGCTCCAACTGTATGTGTTGCATCGGTATGACTATATGCCCATATATATATATCTTCCAATTGTAAAATAATAGAAATATTATGCAGCTTAAATATACCTTGGAACGTGGGGTAGTGCCTTCAAATGCAACTGGAAAGCGGTATCAATCTTGAAAGCATGTTTGGTTAACCTTTAAAATAAGCTGCTTGCTTCTAAGAAACTTTTTGTTTTCAAACACATTCAGATAAGTTACTTTTTCCTTTCTTCTCAACTTAAAAAAGTTACACATTTCGAAAGTAACTCAGCGAATTATAAATAAATAAATAAATAAAGAACTATTTATCTTCAAATTTATTGTTTTACTTATTAGTGAACTTCTTAAGCTTAGCTAAACATACTTTAGTTTATCTAAACATTGAAATGTACCAGGCAAGGTCTATTGGACATGTGTCCAAGTCTCTGTTTCAACTGGTCTTCACTAAAGTCAGAACTGAACATGTCGTCATCACCATTATATGCACAAAGAGAATGATATCTGCATAAAAAGCAGTACTGACAATTAAACAGGTTGACTGAAAATCAAATTATACAAAGAATGCCATGACTGAAGTACGTTTGAAGTCACATTTCTACAACTCTCACCTATAGGCCGTTATTGGGGAATCTGGATTGGCTTCCCGAGGCATCAATTCTGATCCTCGACCTTCACCAATCATCTTTGAAGCTAAATCAATCATGGAAGCAGTTTCCGGGAGAGTGGCTTTGAATTCCCGGTCACTCACTGGAGCCTGAATAGTCAATCAACGCATAATAGATAATGAATTTGAAAGCAAGACATCGAAGCAATATAGGCGTGCAATTATAGGACCGTTAAAATAATGGCCAAGATCCACCTCCAAGCACCCCCAGTTCGCATTGAAAATCATGTTATTGTAAAGAGGGCATCAAATTTCAAAAGCAATGAAATGAATCAAAACTATAAGCAAGTTGACAAGTTGCTAAGATCCAATGAAGTTTAAGATCCTGATATATCCACCCTATGAAGAATCTCGTTCTTTGCTTATCCCTTTAATGAATAGTAAGGTACTTTTATGGTCAATAAACTTTTTATTAGGTTTCATTTTGACAATTACACTTTATTATCCCGAGTCACCATTCAATTTAAAATGGTTTCAGATTTGAGATTTACTGTAAAATGCTGGTAGCTAAGTAACACGGAATCTTCAGATATGATTTGCATGTGCACTTTCACGAATTTATCTATTGCTAAGTCACAAGTAGGCAAAAATGATGACCCCATTTTTAAACTTAGAAAATGAGAAGGAAAAAACTGAAGTATATGGCCACAGGTCAAATTTGGACCCAGTTATAAGGCATAAAACGGAACTTTTACCCTAAACTCAACATAGATGCAAACTTTGATGTGCATGCACATATGTGGACAGTCGTACTTTAATCACCATTGCATGCGTCCAACTAAACACTTCACTGCTAAACAGAATAATAGCTCAGATACAACATAGAAGTATTATCTTAGTTTTTTACCACCATGCGTCGAGTTTGAGAGCCACAGGCCCATATTGGTTAAATGCACAAGAATACTATGATCTAATCACCGAAAACTCTAATAGATGAACACCTTAAAAAACCAATTACGTGGAAAAGCAACCTGCAAAATGGCAGCACGCACTGCTCTCGAACATGTTGCATTGGTACGCATGTAATATACGATATCCTACACACAGGATGAAATGAGTTTTAGCTATGTTATGTCCTTATAAAGTTCAGGCTGTGAATGTCATGTGTCATCTGATTTTCTATAGCTCGAATGTAGGTCGTGAATATCATAAATTGTAGTACTAATTGCCTGGCAGCCAGTACTGTGTCCAAGTAGTACCACGCCTTCAGAATCTTCCTTGTTTATCAAGTAACTTATCAATTGATCCAGCTCTAAGGCATCCTTCAATAGACAATGCAATAACATAAACAAATTAGCAAACAAAGTACAACAACAATAGAGTATTCAAATGTCCCATTTCAAGATATTATAAAAGGCCAACATTTTGAATCACACTATATCAAGAAGAATATGTCAAGCTTCAAACTAATTTCAGACCACGAGGTTGAAACTAACTTTTAATCATTAGCATATAGTAGAATATGGAAAGCTTGCAAAAGTATCATAATTACTTCTTCTTTTGTACTATTATATTTTAATTGAATAACAGGTAGGAGTCCAAGAACAGATATAGTAAACAAAAGGTGGATGCCGATTTCTTATTTTGTATAGGCGAGGTAGACGTTTTTGTAGATTATAAGTTGTGAGTCTTGCGAAATGTGTGGATAAAAAGTCAATATAAGCTGTGAGTCCTAAGGAATGTATGGATGAAAATAATGTATGACAAACTTATAATCTTAAGAAGGCTTTGCCAAACATACTCTTTATATTTATATTATTTTCCATGGTGGAGTACTAAAAAAATTTTGACAGCAAAATAAGCTGCTTAGTTTGCAGTGATATGCACGAACAACATCCAAAGTATTTTTACATCTGAAGTAATTTTATGCACTAGCATCTGGAATTCAAACTGAGATGTGTATTAAGACACTTTGACATGAAGGTATTTTACACGAGTCCACATAATTTGTTGCAAAAAAATTAAATAAAATTTTAGGAAGTTAATATTAAAATCAAGGTGTCCTCCATGAAAATATGCATATGGAACAATAGTTCAAAAGGAAGAAAGTGAAATACCTTGCAAAAAGCCTAAAAAGGAATATTAAAATTTACTCTATCAGATATCATAAAAACTGGAATTGGAAAGAATAAATACTTGTTTCAAGCTTGAGACGCCATATCCACTGTACGATGATGAAAACAGAAATTGAACTAGTGACCAGCGTTCTTTCTCCAAAGCAATTGCCAAAGGCTCCAAATATCTGGAAAATTTAGAATTATCTACTTTAGGATGAAAATCATAATCCTATTTATTTTATCTTTTTATAATTGTTGTCATCTTATTGGATGGAAGAATCAATTTGACAATTTGAATCACTTGAAGCCTGTATGGCAAATTATTTAATGTACCTTGTTAAGTGTCTCAAGACACTGGACTTGCCTACCTTTAACTGCAACTAATCAGGCCCAAGAAAATATAATTTGTGAATTCTCTACATAAAGGCAGTCACATAATTTTCCTAAATGCCAAAATGGTACTTTTCTAACCTATAGATACGAAATTAAATAAAACCAATCAAGACGCGTGTAGTTTTGATAATTAATAAAATGATAATGGAAAAGTGTGACAATGGGTGCAGGGAAGGACTGAAAAGAGCATGTAAAGTTTAAATTACCATCTGGTATGACAAAAATAAAAACAGCTTAGTACGTCACAACTCACAACGTTCAAGTGAACATAAAATATTTGATCCAACGGTTGAAAAACGTACTCAGTTGCCAAAAATCCATCTGTCAGTCCACCAATAAAAATAACTTGCTGTTTATAATCACCCATCTTAAATGCAACCTGTAGAAATGAAAAATGGAAAAGATAGCAAAAAAAAAAAAAAAGTTAGAAAAGAAAATGAAATGTACTGAACCAGTAAATATATCCAATAAACAAACTGTCTAAAGTGTAAATATAAATTATAAAGAGGATGTACCAGATTATTACACTTCACTGTTGAAATCTCTATTTCCAGTCTACCTTCACTTATGAAATTTTGACGGAAAAATTATTTAGGTTTCAACTGTTCAATACCATTACTCGAAGTTTCACGTCTAGGTAATAATTAACTCGATGATTCTGGCACTCTAGGGCATGTATTTGCACATAATAGGACACCCTCATAGTATGCATATGAAAGCGCCAATCTCCTAATAGAATGAAGCAGTATTCCAATAGATTGTGAAGCAAAATCAAAGCCCTTCATTTCTGTTATATCATAGGCACAAAATAATCTCGAACAGAAAATAATCTTTATCACATATTTTTACACTTTAAGATATCGTGGATAATTTTGTCAAACATAAAATATTCACCCCACACAAAAACGTGTTTCTTTCCTCGAAGATTATGAAAAACTAATCAAGAAATCAATTTAACATTATACATGCATTTTTAACTTGGTTAACCATGGCCAAATTTTCACAATCACGATAGATAATCAAGGGGAGTCTCTCAAGTAAATTACAAATCACTCTAAAAAAATGCCACCTGCATTGTCTCTCGGTAAAGTTGGACAAGAGGTTTAGCCTGGGAAGTTCATAGTGCTGAGTTAACATTAGTAAGTTCCAAATCACATTTACCACAAGTATAAGACTAAGATCGAATCCCAGGCATGAAATATATATCCACCCACCAAAAATTTGATCTGTTCCCAAAACCATGGGGACAGGGCCTGACCACTAGAGGATACTGCAAAACATGAAATACAACCTAATCACCGTTTTCCAAATCATGAATTCTAATAAAAGATTTAATCTTGTTTAAGACCAATCCTCATGTTTTCTCAGAGTCACGTACATAGAATCCATTACAAGCTATCAAATCACATTCACTGCAAGCACAAGAATAAGATAGAATCAGTGGCATGAAATATCTACCGACCAAAATTCGATTTGTTCCCAAAACTATAGGGACGGGGCCTGACCACTAGATGATAATGCAGCATCAAATAAACCTAATTACTGTTTCCCAAATTCAGGAATTCTAGTAAAAGAATAATCTTGTTTAAGATCAACCCTCTTGATTTCTCATATAGTCACATACACAATCCATTCTGAGAAATTCAATTGCCATTCCAAGAAATGAAACCCATACATGGCTATCTAATTTAGCACTGAGGCTTTAAAAGCTGTAGTCTTTTTCACTCCAAGACCTCAATTTCCATCACAAGTGAACAATTCTCTACAAGAAATTGACACTCAAAACAAATATCATATAATTAGCAATACTTCTTGAAAAAGATTTAATCTTTTCGCTTCAAGATGTCATGGTTTCCATTGGGGTGTATGGACACCTAATTCCATATCGAAAGTTTAGGCTGAAGATGTGGGCTTTATAACCATTTGGGCACCCTTCCCTTAATAGCTAGCTTTTGAGGGTGAGTTCTACCCAAGGGGTTATGACATTGGTATCAGAGCAGGCACCACGAATGGTGACGTCGGTATTGCAGTGTTCGTCCTGAACTAGTCCACGGCTAGTGCACAGCATTGTCTTCCGGCTCGGGGAAAGCTTAGGGTGTATGGGCACCTGTTCGACGTGGACGTCGAGTCGGAAACGTGGTGATTTGTCATGGTTTCCATTGGGGGTGTATGGTCACCTAATCCCACATCAGAAGTTTAGGCTGAAGATGTGGGCTTTATAACCTTTGGGCACACTTCTCTTGATAGCTAGCTTTCGAGGGTGAGTTATATCCCAGGGGTTTGTGACACAAGAACAGAAATCAAACAAGCACTCCTCAATACATAATAGTAAAATTTAGAACCCACAAAATATTGCAATGCCAATTCAAGATATTATGAAATCCGACAACAAATCACTGAATTTTCAAATCTAACCACTGCTTATTTATCAAATGCTTTCCTCTATTTCAGCCCAAAAAAGAAAAGAAAAGAAATCCAGGAAAAAGCGGACCTGGATTGGCTTGGGGCCGTACTTGAACATGACACCTCGGAACTGGTGTTTCTTGTTAATGGGTCCACCTCCACCACCGAGGATGTCTCCAGTGGCGGCTAAGGAGGATTTACTGGCCATCTTGTAGCTGGCTGAGCGGCCGCGCACAATGCCGGAGAACCAAGAAGTGGTTGTAGATGATGACGATGATGACGCAGTTGATGTAGAAAGAGATGTCAAGGAGAGATTCATATCATGATTTTCCATGAAAATTCGATGAAGTCATATTTTTACGTTTTTTGGAATATTTGAGAACCAAGAAGTGGTTGTAGATGATGACGATGATGATGCAGTTGATGTAGAAAGAGATGTCGAGGAGAGATTCATATCATGATTTTCCATGAAAATTCGATGAATTTTTGGATTTTTTTCTTTTTGCAGAAGGTCCCTTGCTATAAGTGTTTGTTTGATTGAGAAAATTAAATTTGGGTGAAAATAAAAATAATTTGTGGGAATTGAATTGTCTACGACTTGTTTTTTTTTTAGAAATTGTCAATTAATTGTATTTGATTGTTATAATTTTTCACTTAAAAAATATTGAAATTATGAATTTTTACACGAATAATTCTCAATTCAAATATGCTCCAAAAAATAGAACGGTAGAGAGTTAGTGAAATTGAAAGAGTGCCTAGAAACTTCATCCCAAAGAGGGACTTTAAGCATGGAATCACGAAAGAATTTTTCCCTTGTACAGTCCTTAATGGACTGTACAAGCAGCAGCCCTCATCACGAAATGCACGGTCCATATTGGATCTTATCTTTAACAAAGCTAAAGTTTCCTCACAGGGCCACCGATTAACAGGTGAATTCTGGTCAAAAGCTTCACCACCGTTGCCACTGCCACCCTCATTTCTATGTTCCACCCCATGAGCGATTGCTCCACCACTTGTACCACTTCCATCAGCACTGTCGACACAAGAATTTCTCGAGAAAACTGAACTATCCAATATGACTTCGCTTCACTTGGTAAACCGTGTCTTCAAAGGAAAATAAGGTTAAAAAAAAAAAAAAAAGCCTTTTCCACCTATTGAAAATGTTGAGAGGTGAAAGAGAAATGGAAAGTATGGGTTTTTCTCCCTTGCCAGGAAAACAAAAAACCAGCTGGAGCGTAAGAAAATGAATTCCTCATTTGGGTGGAATAGAGGGTCACGTGAGGGAAAGTTAGAAAATCAACTGTCAAGAAAATATTTCCAATCAAATAAATTTAAAAGTGGAAAATGGTAGAATAATTTTCACATTCTATGGAAAATTTGGCCTATCAAACATGCTCTAATTGTCAAAATGAATACAAAGTAACCCCTTAAAGGGTGGTTGAGTTGGTGGAGCAGGTGGACGCGGAGACTAAATGTTACGAGTTCAAATTCCCTTCCAACATTTCCTACGTTGAGCTCGTTGCACCGGACTTGCCTAGTACGATTTACCTCTCTTGTGTAGTTTGCGGGCTACTGCACTAGGAGCGGTGTTTACCTAGTGCGCACTCATGGTGGTTGGGCCTCCGCCCCTTCGGGCTGGTCGTGCCTCCGCTGGCAAGTAGTGGCTGCAGGTTCCTACGTCAACAAAAAAACAAACGAATACAAAGTAATTTTATTTATTTTTTAATCAAAAATATTAGTTTACAAAACACAAATTAAGATGTGTCTTTATTAAAAAACTAGCCGGTTGCCTTAATTTTTCAATTCGACCGGGTGAGTTATACACAAACACTCTAGCAATTTGCTGTGTCATTTCTAAAGAATAACCTACTATATAAAATAGTTCAAGTACTTTATAAATTTAACAAATATATAACTCTTATCCATGCTTTCGTAATAATTTCCTTAAACTTATGATTAAAAAAAAAAAAATCCCCTACGCTCCCACAAGACTAGTTCGTCTACTTGCATCAAGAGCCATGGTTTTATACGAAGCACGGAATCACTACTTTTTTCTGTCATCGCGATTAATTATGGCCACACCATCACCCGATTTTTGCATATATGCATGTATTACGCATTCATGTCTTTGTCTGAAACATAATTTCAATACCACTGAGAAATATTTTATTTTCTTTCCTAAAAATTAACTTATAATTTCAAGTTTGTCCTTCGTATATAAGTGAACTAGAATATTTCTTTGCAATTTTCTAATAAATTACTAAAAGCACATTAAAATTTTCATAATTCAGACTTTGAAAGAAAACTATTTCCGTCTAGTCTACTTTGAAATCATCTCCATTTAAAACACAAATAAATGAAAACTAGAAAGATAATTTTAAAAATTATTATACTTCTTTAACATTGGTATTCTATAGAATTTTCCTCTCTCTCTTCCCTTTCATGCGATTTGATGAAGAAAAAGTTCCTTAGGATATACTTGAAAGCATAGTATATAAAGGCCCACTTGGAACATATCTTTACACAACTTTGTTTTCGCTTCTTGATACACACAATTATTAATTAGTGAGAATTATCATTGATCATGACATGTTAAGAGAGTAATATGCGTGAACAACTTAATTCTCAATCTAACTACATAAAAACATAATGTTTAATTTGACTTTTATCTAGAGTAACCTATCTTGAATCATCGTATCGACAACAAGTACATTATGGTTGTGTTTGACACCTATTTTGGAGAAGAATTTGATTTGGAATAGTGATTGATAGAAGAATGTGTAGTTAAAAAATAAGGAAAATTTTGGGTTTATGTATAATGTAGAGATTAAAAGCCACTAATCAGTTGTATAAACTCACGAACAACAAAAGTAATGCACAAAAAAAATAAGAAACAGTAAAAGAACACAAGGTTTTTCGCCCTAAGGCAAGAGGTTCGGAATAAATCCTACTCCCCTTTTGAGCTTCCGCCAATCGGAAGAAATCACTATATAAAACCAAGGATCAAAGCCAGTTTATCGTTACACAAAGGTACTCAGGCAAAATCACTCAAGATTTCCTCAAAGTAAAGAATCCCTCACAAATCGACACTGAAACCACACAAGGATACAAATTAGTCTTACTACAAGTCACTCAAGAGATGTATACAAGCTAAACCACAATCGATTTACAGGAGAATCAGTTTTAGAGTGCAAAAAGAAGAACGGCGTGAACAGAGAACAGAGAGAGACCAAGAGACTGAATGAATGAGAGAATGAATCGTCCAAAAGATCTCAAACCCTAGTAATAGAGAAGTCTCCAGAAACGTCACCATCCAACGGTAGTTGGGGCGACACTTGGTGACATCTCAACCGTCCAATGTTTTAACCAACAAATGCTTTAGTTAAAGGTGTAGGAGCAAAACACGTTTTTACCAAAAAAGAACAGGAGCCACCAAGTTATCCAAATAGAAGTCCAGCCCAACAGCATCACTTCAGCCCATTTAATCAGACTAGGCCCAATTATCATTGTGCCATTTCTCCACAATCTCCACCTTGGTACAATGATCCAGGTTCTCCATAGTGATTTCTCTCTTATGGTATCATTTGCTCTTATTACTTGATACACAAATCAGCAAGTATCAATGTTCAGAAGCTTTAAACAGTCCAAAAACTTGTTTAAAGGCATCACTTTAGTTCCAACATCAGCAGGATTAAAATGAGTAGAAATTTTCTCAAGTTTTACAATACCTTGTGAGATAACATCTCTAATGAAATGAAATTTCACATCAACATGTTTTGATCTATTATGCAAAACAGGATTTCTACTCAAATATATGGCAGATTGGCTATCAGAAAATAAAACAACATCTTTCACAAAGCCAAATTCATTTAAAAGACCCTTTAGCCAAATACCCTCTTTTATAGCATCAGTTGCCGCAATATATTCAGCCTCAGTTGAAGATAATGCAACAATTTTCTGTAATTGAGATTTCCAACTTATGCATGAATTACATAAAGTATACACATAAGCAGAAGTAGACTTTCTATAATCTCTGTCACCTGTATAGTCAGAATCAGTGTAACCCCTCAAGATAACACCATCAGAATGTTTACTGTAATGAATCCCCAAGTCACAAGTTCTCTTAATGTATCTAAGAAGCCATTTCATAGCTTCTCAATGAGTTTCACCAGGATTTGACATTAATCTACTCAACACACTTATAGAAAAAGCCAAATCAGGTCTGGAACAGACCATTAGATACATAACTGACCCAACAGCATTAGAATAAGGCACTCCTGCCATTCTTCTGAACTCAGTTTCAGATTTGGGAGATTGATCACTTGAAAGTTTAAAGTGATTAGCTAAAGGTACACTTACACTTTTAGCATCATTCATAGAAAATTTTTCTAACAATTTTAAAACATAGGATTTTTGACTTAGGCTAAGTATGCCTTCTTTTCTATTTCTTTTAATTTCGATACCTAAAATTTTTCGAACAGGACCCAAGTCCTTCATTTCAAATTCAGATTTCAATTTGTTTTTAATGAACTCTATTTCCTTTATGTCATTACTAGCTAGGATCATGTCATCAACATAAAGAAGAAGATAGAGTGAATTTTCACCACCATTACCTTTACAATAGAGACAAGTATCAAAATTACTTCTTTTAAAACAAAGTCCAAGTACAAAGGTATCAAATCTCTTGTACCATTGTCTTGGAGTTTGTTTTAAACCATATAAGGATTTTTTAAGAAGGCATACTAGGTCAGAATTTTTATTCATTTCAAAACCTTTAGGTTGTTCCATAAAAATAGTTTCTTCAAGATCTCCATTTAAGAAGGCAGTTTTGACATCCAATTGATCCAATTCCCAATCAAACTGAGCTGCTAAGGCCAATATCACTCTAACAGTTGTAAATTTTACAACTGGAGAAAAGATTTCATTGAAATCTATTCCCTCTTTTTGAGTAAAACCCTTAGCCACTAGTCTAGCTTTGTATCTAATGTCATTCTCACTTTGTTCCCCTCTTTTTATCTTAAAGATCCACTTACAATCCACAACCTTTTTCTCTTTAGGTCTACTAGTCAATACCCATGTTTTATTCTTCTTAAGAGATTCCATCTCTTCTTGCATTGCTTCAAGCCAATGCATGGAATCTTTACTACTAACAGCCTCATCATAAGTCACAGGTTCATTCTCAATAAAACTTTGAACTAACAGTAAGGAAACTTCATCATCAAACCTCACAGGTGGTCTAACCAGTCTTCTTTGTCTATCACGAGCTAATTGGTAATCACCTAAGGTCTGATTAGTCTCTAAATCAGTATCAATCAGTTCAGTCTCATCAGTCCT